CCTAATATTATCCATAGCTGTGCCTATAGTAAATGGTAATTAAAAATAATAAAGAATGAAGGCAAAATCATATTTGATGGCTTACTTCATATTTGTGTGTTCAAAGCTACCTGGAAGCAGCAGGCATTGAATGGAAAATTCACTTTAATTTCCTGACTATTTTCACTTTCTCATTTTGTAAATAACAGAGTGATTCACTAAAATTTCAATGACCCTGTAATGAATGGGTCAAACTATTCGCTGCTGTATGGGGCAATTTGGACTGCAAAATCCACACATTGTTTACAGTATGAAACAACGTCAGGATTTTGCTAGCTAGGCTACAAATGAGCAAGAAATTGGTCTGGATTTCAGTTGGATTAAAAGCTGACATATGGAATTTGGACTCGGATTGTAAAAACCTGGGCCATGATTTAAAAAAATCTGAAAAATTTGCCTGCTGACAGTGGTTTCAGGTAGCTGGCAAAAATCTTTGGTAGTGCAAGGGCTAATCATATGGCTGCTGGCCAGCACTTGCTAGCCAACGACCACATTAAAAACAATAAACATTTTTTTTAAAAGCCCATGATGTAACTTTATTGTCCCATCTGCCATGCTGCTTGTGGAGACATATCTGCTAACCAGCCAGTGGTTACACATAGTAACTAAAAACGCACCCATGGGGTGTTCTTCAGTCCAAAAAATACAAATTAATCAAATTGCAAACATCCAGATGAAATACAAAAAGCACACCTCAACAAAAATAAATCTATATGAGCCCTGTGAAGCCTCCATGCAGAATGAGGCCAATGGCTGCTCACTGTTTAGTAGATATGTCCCCACCCAAGACATGGCAGGTTAAGGCATTAGATTAAAAACCTAGTTTACAGTAATATGGGCATGGGCGTCCACAGGAATTTTTCCGGGGGGGTGGGGGATGCGGCATAATTGTAATTACATCCATGTGGTGTCCCTTTTTGACAGTGTCATGAAATGGAAGGGGCATAGTCATTATCACATAAAGCCAGGGTGAATAGCGTTTTAACAACTATGGTGTCAGGAATACATAACTAAAAAAGGTGAAAGGGGAGGCGGCGCCACAGGTGAAATAAAATATAAATAAATAAATAAACCTGATTATAAACTATACAAGCACATATACAAGACACTATATAAGAGAAAATACATACAAGATAAAAAAACAAAAAGAGCTTGAAATATGGATAATGAATAATAATCAAGAGTCCAAAGATTAAGTCCAAAAGAGTCTATGCCTGATAAATGCAGCAAAAAAAAAAAAAAGTCCAAATAAAACCTTGTATAAGAAGTCAGTCACAATCTTGTCAGGGGAAGTATTCCTCAGTAACGTATGGACATGGGATATTCGTGAAATCCATATGAAAAAAATGAAAAGACAGCAAATAATGGTGCAGTATATCCCAACAGGTACTAAGTACTGTTTTTAGAGGTCTATATGGTCCTACTCACGTTTTCCAGAGCTAAAAGACTAGCTCTAGTGTGGATAGCATACAGAGGTACATTCCCCACTTATGGGATACGTGAAGTTTTGTAGTGGATGGATATATTTTATTGAGCAGGCAGACTGCTCAATGGATAAAGCTTGAGTGGTATAATCCCCACCAAGGATTTTTTGGAGTAAAATTCTCACTGGAACAATAAAAACTCTGGTGCCAGGTAAAAATAAATAAAAGACTAAGATGGCTGACTCACAAGTTGAAAGTGGCCAAAATACCTTTAGTAAAATACAGCAATTGAAATACAACAACGCGTTTCTCCCCTTAGGGCTTTCTCAAGTGGATAAAAAAAACTACTACTACTCTATAGGGCCTGTGAGGGAGCCCTATTTTCAGGTGTGCTGCCTTACATTTATCTCTGTGAGATCTAGTATATTAGCGCTGATCCTTTGTAAATATTCTTACTGTCAGGAATACATGTTTTTATTCCTAACACTATAGTGTTCCTTTAAGCAAATTAAAGGGACATTCTGTTCACCATAACAACTTCATCTAAATGAAAATGCTATGATGCCAGGAAGCCCCTGGGTGTTCTCATTCCTTTAAATGGTTAAACCGCTCTCAAATGGTTTAACCCCAAAGGCTTCCTCCAGCTCCAGATCTCCAGGTCGCTCAGTGGTATTCGGCAGATTGACATCAGGCATGGGTGCTGCAGATTGGCTACAGTGGTCAGTTGATGCTCTAAGCCAATTGCTAGTTCTTGGTTCATAAAAATGTTTTACGGGGAGCTACTGATTGGCTTAGAGTGCCAGCTGACCGCTCTAGCCAATCAGCGACACCCCTACCCAGCAGCACTCTGTGCTTCCTGACACTAAATAAAAGTGAACACATTTACACTGATATTTTTTTTTACCTGGGGAGATGAGAAGGTCCAAGGTTCCCCTGCCAGGCCCAGTTATCAAAGCCTTATGATGTGGTGTCCAGAATAAAGTGGAGGGTTCACTTCACTTGTCCTTCCTGCTCCAATCTCCCTTTTTTCTCCTTCATTTGACACAGTCTTCGTTTTCTTCTGACACTGTCTTCTCTCCTTCTTGGCTCCTTCTGCTCCTTTACCTTTCTGCTACATTCTGCTTATTTTGCGCCTTTATGTTCCTTTCTCTTTCTGATCCCTTTCTGCTCCTTGCAGACCCTTTCTGCTCCTTCTCCTACTTTACCTTTGTGCTCCTTGCTGTCCCTTTCTACTCCTTGCTACCCTGTTCTGCTCCTTTTCATACTTTACCTTTATGCTCCTTCTTTTCTTTCTGCCCCTTTACCTTTGTGCTTCTTCTGTCCCTTTCTGCTCTTTGCATACCCTTCCTCCTCCTTGCAGACCCTTCCTGCTCCTTGCTGTCCCTTCCTGCTTCTTGCTGCCCCTTCCTGCTCCTTCCTGCTCATTTCTGTTCCTTTGTGCTCCTTCTCCTACTTTACCTTTTGTGCTCCTTGCTGTCCCTTCCAGCTCCTTGCTGCCCCTTTCTGCTCCTTGATGTCCCTCCCTGCTCATTTCTGTTCCTTCTCCTTTCTGCTCCTTCTCTTACTTTACCTTCCTTCTCTTGCTGACCCTTCCTGTAGGCTGCTTCCCCCCATCCCTCACTTCCTGATCTATTAGGCTGCCCCAGGCCTCATGTCTCTGATCTATAGGCTGCCCCCCATGCCTCCACTTCCCTGATATATAGGCTGCCCCCCCATGCCTCACTTCCCTGATCTGTAGGCTGCCCCCATGTCTCACTTCCCTCATCTATAGGCTGCCCCATGCATCACTTCCCTCATCTATAGGCTGCCCCATGCATCACTTCCCTGATCTATAGGCTGCTCTCCCATGCCTCACATGCTGCTGCACTTCCCTGATCTATAGGCTGCCCCCCATGCCTCACTTCCCTGATCTATAGGCTGCCCCCCATGCCTCACTTCCCTGATCTATAGGCTGCTCCCTCCATGCCTCACTTCCCTGATCTATAGGCTGCCACCCCATGCCTCACTTCCCTGATCTATAGGCTGCCCCCATGCCTCACTTCCCTTATCTATAGGCTGCCCCCCATGTCTCACTTCCCTGATCTATAGGCTGCCCCTCATGTCTCACTCCCTGATCTATAGGCTGCCCCTCATGTCTCACTTCCCTGATCTATAGGCTGCCCCTCATGTCTCACTTCCCTGATCTATAGGCTGCCCCTCATGTCTCACTTCCCTGATCTATAGGCTGCCCCTCATGTCTCACTTCCCTGATCTATAGGCTGCCCCTCATGTCTCACTTCCCTGATCTATAGGCTGCCCCTCATGTCTCACTTCCCTGATCTATAGGCTGCCCCTCATGTCTCACTTCCCTGATCTATAGGCTGCCCCTCATGTCTCACTTCCCTGATCTATAGGCTGCCCCTCATGTCTCACTTCCCTGATCTATAGGCTGCCCCTCATGTCTCACTTCCCTGATCTATAGGCTATCTCTCCCCCCTCCCACTTACCTGATCTGTAGTCTGTCTCTGCCAGCTGAACTCTGTGCTGCTCCCCTGCGGATTGAGTCAAAGAGAAGCAGGGATAAAATGTAGCTTCCTATCCCTGTCTCTCATCATACACACAAAAAATAGCAGAACAAGCTAAAAAATCCAGGTGTGGGGGGGGGGGGCAAGTGCCCCCCTTGCACCCCCCGCGGGCTAATATGGACCGTCATAGGCTCTTTTAATTTCACTTTTTTAATGTGGCAGTCGCCTAGCTGCCAGTAGGCAAATAGTACTTTAAATTATTGTTTGATTGCCTAAAAGCAAGAGAAAGATCATTTGTGAATGTGCATTTTGCTGTAGACATTGAGTCACAATATTGTTTATAATCCGTGCTTTGTACATATTCAGAATCCTATAATTTGTATCTGGTTTGGACGCAAAAACCACAGATTTTAACCTAAATACTGAATACACCTGTTCAGATTTGGTTAGGTGGAATTAGCATTAGCCATTCCGGTTGGATTTGGGACATTTTAAATAGATGTTATGTATCCGGACATAATCAGTGTTTAGTGAATAACCCTGGAAGTCTACAAATGTGCTGTTTTTTAAAGGTGATTTGTAAAATGATCTAGAAGATTGGAGAATAGACATTTCAGTAATAATTACATATGTTTTCTAGGTGTACAACCAGCTGATATACTGGAGGGCCCATTCAGTAAAGGTCGTCAGTTTGATTTATGAAGAATTCAAAAATGTTGTTATATCTGCCTCTGTTGATGGATCAGTTAGGTAATTGGTGTTTGCTACTCAGAATGAGACACAGTATTTAAGCAAAATGTATACTTCAAATAAGAATGATTGACACGAAGTATAGGTTACTTTTACAGGTGAACAATCACTTCCCAGAATTTGTAATATTGTGTTTACTTTCCTTGTATTTAACAATAAGCATTTGTTAAGTGTGAAAAAAGTCCCCCCACCCCAGCAAAAATAAATGCGTCTTAGCCTGTATGGGAATGTGTGTCTATTTAATTCCCCTCCCCCCTCCCCCGATTGGTGAATTTTTTTGCAGATGCAGCGTATGCCCCAATTTCAGACAGAGAAGAAGCCTGTGTCGCCCCTAGGAGACTGTCCCTGACAGTGTCCTGGAGGCCAAGCAGAGCAGAAGAGAGAAGACTTGCTACTGGGAAAAAAAGGGTAAGTAAACATTATTTTTATTTGGAGGGGGCACCTGGCATCTAGAGAGGTAAAATAATACTCCAAAAGTGAACATTGTCTTTGGTGTGTATCTCAGGTGTATGTATATTATATTAATATCTGTGTATGTATTATAAACATAAAAAAAATACATATCTACATGGTTATACTAGATACACATATACACAAACTCACTGGCACACATGCTAGCACACAAACACTCTGTGGTGCAAACATAGTTCGGATAGCGGGAAAAGCCATTATATAGCCTAAGTAAACTATGGCAAAGCGTGGAAAAATGTCCCATGTTTTGCAATAGGTGTGCTCTGATTGATTGGCTTGTAAGCTAACCAACAGTGTTCTGACTGACAAGTCTGAAAAAAACGGCTTTCCCCACCATCAGAGCTCAGTCTGTGGCGAGCTCACTATGGATAAAGAAAGATCAATTTTATTGCGCCACATTTTGTTTCTTGCCATCAGGCCTTTTTTATATTATTTTATTTGAAATAGTTGCGTTCAAAATTTTTATTTGCCTTGTTTTGGGCTGAAGACAAAAATAATTAGAAGAAAGAGGACTGCTGGTGATAAGTAGTGATCCTCTAGGTGTTAAATCCTGACTTCCTATGGCCTAGACCTGATCCAACTCTTCATTCAGGCAATTAGGGGCTAAGGTGTTTAACTTAAAGATCAATTTGGGTTCAGCTCTTGAAAGAGCTCTTTTTTCTCATCACCCTTTCTGTGTCTTCTCTTTATTTCTGCTAGGGTACAAGTACCACCAGTGGCTAAACAGAAGCAGATATTTAAAGTTGTAAAAATGTTAGGAACACAAAATATCAATAATAATATTAAAAGCACAGTAAAAACTGTTGCCTGCAATAAAAATTGAGTAGTCTGGTACCAGGGGTAGAGGGAGTGATAGTACAGAGATCAAATATACATAAATATCCATAGATTAGATTTCTAGCTCAAGACTGGAAATAAAGGAGGTCACCAATCCTCTCTAGAGAAATAGATATAGGTATGTCATTAGTAAAAATGATAGGATATTCCAGGAGCTAGTTAAATTGCAGCAATAGAAAATTCAATAGATAAACTGTAACTAGTTATTAAAAGTAGATAAATATATATAAAACAAACTTTATAAAGTTCCAAATTGTTCATATAGAAAGTCTTGTGATGGAAATGAATAAGTCAATTATAAAATGGAAGAATTAAAATCTTCCATTTTATAATTGACTTATTCATTTCCATCACAAGACTTTCTATATGAACAATTTGGAACTTTGTAAAGTTTTTTTTTATATATATTTATTATTGTGGGAGCACTTTATTCATATCTCTGTGATTTACCAATATATTTTTTATGTACCTCTTACTTTAGTATGATCCTACATGCTGCTTCACTATACTTGATACTTTTTGGGAAGTTTGTACTAGTATCTTTGTGGTCAGAAATATGAGAGGTTTTTTTAAACATTGTATTATCTTATTTTGATATACATGTGGTCCTTGTTTTGCGACCTACCTGTTTTACTACGGCTCAATGCGAGCCGTCATCGGGATTCCCTGCTCTGGTGCGTTCGTCTATGTTCGGGGAAACTTCCCCGAACATAGACAAACTCACTAGAGCAGGGAATCCTTCTAATCTATGTTCGGTGAACTTTCCCCTCACTTACCGACCATGTCGTAGGATCAGAACCCGGTCGGTAAATGAGGAGTGTCTGTATTTAGTTTGAGTTCTAGAGATAGACCAGCTGTTATTAAACCTATGTTCATTGTTGGAATTTGATTCCTGAGTAGATTTTTTTATATAAAGTTTGTTTAAACTAAATCAAGTGTATTTTTATACTTCTATTTATATATATATATATATATATATATATATATTTTTTTGTGGAGTTTTTCAGGTTTGAATTTCAGATATCAAGTCGCTTTTCACATATATGTTGCTGCTCAGAATTTATAGAATTGTAGTTCTCCTTTTACTGTATTAATCTTTAATAATAACTCTGCAAATTCATATACTATTTTAATATAATTTCTAGGCTTTGGCATGCATCAAATGGGCATTACATTGGATATTTTGGACAGCCAAGGGTATTACAGCTGTCACATTCTGCTAAAGTTTTTCTCCCTGCTGATATTACCGAGAAGCCTGAAGACTCAAGAATTGAATCTGATAACTTGACTAAGTAAGAAATGAAAGTAAATAGACATTACAATATACAGTAGCACACAAACAGTTATGAATAGCATAGCTTTTTAAATTGTGAAAACAGATATACAATAGTACCTAAAAATGAAACAAATATAAGAAATAATAAACAATATACTGCATGGTGGGTGGATAATAATAATAATAAAAAGCATAGCTAATGTCACCCATCATCCTCCATACAGTGAGCAGGGTAGAGGGAACAATAAACTACAAGGTCACTAGGTTCCCCTTAAGGTCTACAAAGCCTAGGCCCCCTTATAAACAGTATCTATGTCTCCATGCAGTGGGTGATTTCTACCGGGTCTGCTTCTTTTGAATGTTTGATTAATTAATTCATAGTTTGTGTGGAAATTAAAGGGACCCTATGGGTACCAAAACAACTTTAGCTTAATAAAGCAGTTTTGGTGTATAGATCATGCCCATGTAGTTTCATTCTTCAATTCTATGCCATTTATGAGTTAAATCACTTTATTTATGCAGCCCTAGTCACACCTCCCCTCATGTGACTTGCACAGCCTTCCAAAACATTTCCTGTAAGGTGATATCTAATGTGTATACATCCTGTACAGCAGATATTGTTTAATTTAGAATTTCTTATATCTCTGCTTATAGCCTTCTATACTCTGCATGAGCCTCCTCTGTGTGATTAAAGTTTAATTTACAGAGCAAAAGATAAAAAAACTTAACAAATTAACATCTGATTAAAAATCAAATATTTTTTTTTCATGCAGGCTGTGTGAGTAACAGCAAGGGGAGGTGTAGCTGTGGCTGCTTGAACAATTTAACTCCTAAATGGTAGAAAATTGAGTAGGAAGACTGCATGTTCCATACAACCAAACAGCTTCATTAAGCCAAAATTGTTTTGCTGCCCATAGTAACCTAATAAGCCCTGTTAGTTGACTATTTGTTTGTGTTGGACAGTGCAAAGGTAACTGGCTAAATAGAGTATTCCACTGGCAATGACATATAAACCACTTATCTCAATTACTTTCAATATGGTTGCTTATATGGCATAATAGTATTTCCTTTATTTTCTTGGCAACCTTTAATGTCGGACATGCATTTTAGCAAACTAGTCATTATTAAAACTTTTTTCAAATGTAACATTTTCTTTTAATTGCTTTCCATGTATATTTCAGATTTGGAAGCGGGACTCTAAACAAAAGTCTTTCTTTGGATGTCGGTTTATTTAAATACTTATCATCTCTTAAGGTATGCAGCATTTTTTTTTGTTTTATGTAAGATTAATACGCATATTACTGTAATTTGTTTTTCAAAGTAAATTTCATTATTTTCATACATCTGTTTTTCAGATGTCCAAAAAACGCGTTTTGAAGAATTCAGAAACTGTGCTAGAGCTAGCAGATATCTTCACCCCTTTAACAATGCTGAAGCAATTACAGCTCCCAGTCACAAAAGCCCTTTGTCAGGGTACACTGCTTTCTCCTCGAAGCTCCCTCCAGTAAGGTTCCAGCAATCCACAAATGCTCCAGGGCGGATAGGATATCTACGAACTTATTCACGAGAAGTAAAGAGGTCAAGTGTTGTAGGTAGTAAAGCATAGCAACATTTAGTGTACCAACTTGAATAAAAACAAATAAAAACACTGCACTAGACAAAAAATAATAAAATAAATACAATTCTGAAAAATTCTAATCACAACACGTTTCGCCTAACAGGCTCTTTTCAAGTGACAATAACAAGGGTCCTGCATGTAGCCTTGTTTATAGGGAATCTGAAGAAACAAACAATTAGAAAAAATGCGGTTTTATGATGTTATCAGGTCACATGACCATCACAAACACATGTGTGGCATTAACTAGATAATCCATTTTATCCAGTTAATTATCCAGTATATAATCCAGTTAATGTCACACATATGTTTGTGGTGGCCATGTGACGTTTCAGCTGCAAAAAGGCTTCTGTATAAGCCAAAACATTGCTGGTTGTGGATAATAATTATTTTTGGAGAGTGCTGGACCACTTTTTTAATATGGAATTTATTAATGGGTGGTAATATCTGAGGTCTATGTAGCACCACACTTTAGTAAATATTCATCCGTTTTGTATTGTATGTGAACTGAATACTAAAGCATCCATTGTGCTTACTTTTTGATGGGAATTTCAGTTTGCTGTTGCAGAGAAAAGCAAACTCTGGCACGTCAAAAGCAGAGAACAAAAACATTGACCATTACTCAACTATAGTGAAAACACAAGGGTTGTCTAACATTGTCAATCATATAAGAAAATACACCGCCACTCTCAAAAAAGGAGGCATCTGCTTTATTTAATTTATTTATTTGTGGTGGTGTCACTTTATCCAGATGAGCATCATTTGAATGGCACAGTGGAGCTAAGCATTGTTCCTGTTTATGTGTACCATTTGTGGTGATAGTCTAGTTTGCGTGGTGACAAACTGTGCATCATTTCAAGTTGATTCCAAGAATGTGGTGGCACTATTTGTTTACTCCAATTTCTTACTTTCCATAGATCTAATGGATCACTTTTGGCATGATAATTAAAGGTGCTTCACAGCATGGATGTATACCTGAATGAACCAAAATTCCATAGGAAAACCAATACGGTTATCAATTTTTTGTAGTAAACAAATTGTGACAGTGAAAAACATATCCTTAAAGGACCACTGAAGTCTTCCAGGCCACCTCACCTCAATGCTAATATAAGGCTTACATTTTAACACATTGAAATTTACCAGATTGGGTTGCTGGGCCTATGTGGCTTTTGAAACTGTATGGCATTCCAGGAATGAGAATTACCCCATCATGGCATACCACTGGCAAAACTAAACAACCTAGGGTATTCAAAACAGGGTATTTCCATATTTTTAGTAGACACTTAGTGACAAATCCTGGCCACAATTAGTGTTCAATCTGTTTTTGCATTTTTCACACAAAAAATGTACTCCCCTAAAACACTTATATCTGTGTTCAGCGAGTACAACAGTACTCCCATGTACAGGTTTAATGGGGGCACATATGTCACCCAGATTAACAAGGTTCACATCAGATGCCAGGACAATAGGGCAATCTGACAACAAGTGGGCTACTGGAACAAACCATTCTTAGACATGAAGTGAGAACCTAGACCGGCCTGACTGCAACTACAACAGTGGACTGAATGAGAGGTATGAAATATATGTGAGAACTGTGGATTAATAAGAGACCTTCAGCGACCCTAACACCAAACAGCTAATTTCACAGCATTTAAACATTGTTGAAAGGAAGCTGGTGTCACAACTGGAATTAAATAGACTACACAAAACATCATACATGAGCCCTGAGGAGATTCCCACACTCAAAACCCATACTTGCAGAGGATTGCCAACCTGAATCTCTGCCACAAGATGGCATAGTAGCAGATATAAGAAAGATGATACTAGAAAAAGCTAGAAGTCCTTGACCACTGGACAAAATTAACAAACATCACTGGTAGATAAACAATGCCCACCATGGTGACTAAGACTGGAAGCCAAGATAAAGGCAACACGTAAGGAAGTTAATAAACTGGATCAACTTCATAGAGGTGTAAAATCATGGATAGATCCTGGCTACTGAGGAAATACAAGGGATATGCCCATACCAGAGGCACTGGAAACAGCTATGCAAAGAACAATAGAGAAAAATCCCAAAAGTCAGAATTGTTGGGAGGGAGAGCAAGAGTCTAGCTTCCAACAAAAACTAACAAAGGGTGTGCCCATAAGATAAAGTAAATAACTTGGAACACACGGTATAGGGAATGTCGATAAAAAATAATAAAGCTTTAATGGAGAAAATCTGTAATAGACAACCAAAAAAATGCTACAAAATAAAAAAGCTACTAAAAGTGCTACAAAATAAAAAAGTGCTAAACACACTAAATATGTGTCTTAAATAGAGTCTACCTGGTTAATATCAAATATATTGAAAAATTGAGTTAAATGCTCCTTTAGAGGGTAGAATAACAGACATATGAAGTGATGTAGATGTAGAGCAGGTAGACAGTATAGCTGCCAAGGAGCGTAGATAGTAGGGTAAATGAGATATTCGTAGGGAGTTGAGTAATAGGCACCAATATGTGGCTTGAGAATCCTACATGCATCTAGGGATAGTGTTCAGAGCCTTTATTATAGGGGGAGGTGTGGATGAAACAGAATCCCCCCCCCCTTGTGGCCTGAGTATAAACTAAACCCCAGACTAAATAGATAGAGAGGATATTTGGGAGAGCAGTGGAATGGTATAAACTGCCTCCCTTTGTAAATTGCTATATAATAGATACTCAAACGGTAGGCAAGAGTCGCAATGCAGTGGGTAATGGTATAGACGTCTTAAATGGGTATTTATAAGTCATCCACCTATAGGTCTAGACTACCAAATGTCTCCGCACACAGAACCTACCTCATACACAAACCCCATATTTACCCAGAACAAGGAAAAGAAGTCTAAGTATAGAGGAAGGAGAGGAGGTAGAAGATTACAAAAGAGAAAGGAAGGAGAGACCACAATAAATATAGATGAGAAAAAATTAGGTATTTTTAATCTTTCACATAAAGTTTTAACATCTACCCAGATTCTAGTTTTAAGCAAAGGTCTTAAATATGCTCCTACAAATCCGTTTAAACCTTTCCAAGCATTTTTGGATATCAATAAGTTTGTGAGAAAGGCAACAATAAAAAGATTCTTTGCCCAAAATAGCAATACCCTAACAGAATCAAGCTCAGCACTACAAATCCCTGATTCTGACACAACCACCGAACGTCTTATTACACACACTCCTTTAAAAAATCCCTCTAGATTTTATCCTTCCAATTTCAAATCAGGCTCCATAGAAGTCTTTGAAAAATTGGTCCTCAAAGATTTTGAAAAAATTAAACATACTAAATATGACCATCAGAACCTCACACAGAAGGAATGGAAAGCTCTAAAGGAACTCCAAAAAGATGATGAAATCGTTATTAAACCCGCCGATAAAGGTGGGGGTTTAGTCATTCAGTCCCAATCTATGTATAGAAATGAAGCTAATCGCCAACTCAATGACCCTGAGGTATATGATAAATTACTGTATGACCCCACTTCTAAGGTCAAAGAAATTTTAAGTGTATTTCTAAGAAAAGGATTAGATATGGGAATTTTAAATAAACACGAATTAGACTACCTCACCATCTCCTATCCTAAAATCCCAGTGATCTATTTTCTCCCGAAAATTCACAAGAATGCAGAAAATCCTCCAGGGAGACCAATTGTATCGGGTATTAATTCTGTCCTATCTAATCTTTCCGAATATATTGATATTTTATTACAACCTTTGGTCAAACAAACCAGATCATATTTGAAAGACTCTATGACTCTTATCCTTTTTAAGTGATTTTAACTGGCACCATGATTATATATTGGTAACATGCGATGTGCAATCATTGTACACCATAATTCCTCATGATATTGGTTGCCAATCAGTAGAAAGGATTTTAAAACAAAGCAGCTCTATCCCAGATTCCCAAATAGATTTTATTATACAAGGTATAGAAATTATCCTCACAAACAATTATTTTTGGTTTTTAGATTCATTTTATATTCAAAAGAAAGGTACAGCTATGGGAACTAGGTTTGCCCCCAGCTATGCCAATCTCTTCATGGCCGATTGGGAATCCATGGCGGTCTGGGGAGAACATAGCTGGCGGGCAAACCTGGTTTCCTATTTTCGTTACATAGACGACTTATTTTTTATTTGGCAAGGCTCGGAAACTTCACTTAAGCTGTTTTTAGACTTTTTAAATGTCAATGATAGAGGCATAGTTTTATCTTCAGATTTTAGCAATACGTCAGTCAATTTTTTAGATTTAAATATTTTTATTCAAGATGGACGTATCCAAACTAAGACCTTCTTTAAAGAAGTTTGCACTAATACGATTATCGACCAAACCAGTTGTCATCATAGACCGTGGTTGGATGGCATTCCAAAAAGCCAATTTCTCCGTCTTCATCGAAACTGTTCCCTAACAGCTGATTTTAATGCTCAATCTACCTCATTGAAAAATATGTTTTTAGACAAAAATTATGAGGCAGATAATTAAATACAGCCTTAGAAACAGTCAAAGCGAAAGAAAGAAAGGAGCTTCTCGTATATAAAGCGAAAAAAGAAGATCCCCCCCAATTACCCATCATCTTGGATTTTAACAATAAAAATAAAACCTTAAAGAAAATTTTAAATAAACATTGGCATATCCTTAAACAAGATGACCTTTTAAAAGACCACATCCCAGAGAGACCTAATGTCGTGTTTAGAGGGGCCCCTAATTTCAGAACCATCCTCACAAAAAACTATACAAGAGAGAATGTACAACAAAATAAAACTTTTTTATCTAGACCTAAAGGTTGTTTTAAGTGTAATAAATGTATTGTGTGCAGAACCACTAAAGGAATCACAAATTCTAAAACCATCCAGTTTGCCTCTAATATTACTAAAACCTCCT